AGCCCGTGCGGCGCCGGGGAAATCACCGCCGTCCAACTGCGCAAAACCACTACTACTCGGTAGGCCTGCCAAACTGAGGCTTTGCCGCATAAGCAAAGGCCACTGTGCCTCGGATACGGGGGGTCGACTACTTCGTCATCGTTGTGGATCTGGCCTCGTCCTGGCGCGAGAATACTTCAAGGTTGTTCAACCGAGGTTGTTGCGCAAAAACCCATCCACACGCCCGGCAAGGTTGAGTCCCATGTGGTCCCATCAGTTGGCGAATCACCATCACCTTGGCGCAGGTCTTCCCGGGAGGTAGAGTCGTAGCATACGCAACCGTGCGCACCGGCTGAATGAAGTCCCAAAACCGCTCGTAAAATTAATTTTAAAAAAATAAAAAAAAATTTTTTATTTTTTTTAATAATTATGTTTATTAGATATCCTTAAATTAACTATTATCTTTAATTCCTCTAATTATTTTGCGGAGCGTTTTGCGGTGCTTTCCAGCAACCGCGCCGCCACCGAAATGATGTACACCCCTTCCATTTCCGCACCGGAACCCTACGGGCCGCCGTGCGCCATTGCCTGCCAGAACGTTTTTCCGGGTTTCTTTCCTCTCTCGGCAGGTTTCTGTGTCCAATCGCGGGGCTGTCCCCAGTGCTCGGGCGCTTGGCACTCTCGGGCGCCCGTGGGTAGGTTCCAAAACGGGCCTGGTAAATTGAGGTCACTCGTTGCCCAAAAAACCGCCGTTGCATAATCCTGTTTCTCCCCGGTACGGCAGTCGTCCGTACCTTACCTCTCCTCCTGTTGTCAATCCTTAAGCTTACCGCATCAGGGAATAACTGTCCCCGTGATTTTATATCACAAACCAACACATTTTTTGTGGTTAGCATAATACGACGAGTTGACCCACGGTAATGTCAAGTGTAATTATCCAACCGATGGGAAAACAGAGCCCTTGGCAAATGCCTTAAATAAATTCCACGCACGATTGTAAATATCCCGGCGAGCGTATTACGCGCGTATACCACCATAACGAGGCTTTGTCGGTTCGGCGTCATATCCCTCACACACCACCCCCAATCCCTCAACCCCGCAAATTCGTATCTTAAAACAATCCGGAAGCTTACAAGGAGCCATCATGAAGCTAAAATTCAAAGATTCAAAGCCCTCCCCAATATATGCAGCCGGCGGGACCCTGGGCTGCGAACGGATATCTACGGCATCTTTGTCACTGCCTCCAGTTTGTGGCTTGGCAGCAGATCTGACGCGCCATTGGAAGCGAATTGACTTCAACTGGTCAACTGGATCAACATCGAACTCGCCGAACCCGGAGTGGCGGCCATTCGGACCGGAGGAGTTTTGCTTTTGTCCTGCCAAAAGTGGCCTAACTGCAACAAAACTGTGGGATTATTGCGCGCCGCCGGGTTTTTTTCACGCCGGCTTTCGATTCATTTTGCCGGCGCTGATGAGCGGATTTACTTGGTCCTTGTTCGGGCGGTTCGGGCCAAAAACGCTCTTCCCGCCACGGGTCGCGTTGTTGTTGACCCACGCTGTTCCAAAACCCGGAGCATCGTCCGCCGCAGTTCGACGATCCGTTCATCATCACGCCACTTGCTTGGCATATTCCTTCCATTCCAGCCCGTATCGACCTGGGAATACCAGCGGCACGGCCCCAGCCATTGTCCTAGCCAATCTCGCTCGCCTCTTCGCCGTTCTGGGGCTTTCTGTCTCTGCCGATGAGCCAACAAATCCCTTCTCCTTCAGACAAGGCCAAATCGAGGTGTAAGTTGGTCGTGGTAGTCCGCCATAAGCAATGATCCATGATTTGGCGCGCTTCCGACCGAACCTCCCGCCTGCTCCGCAACTGCGACCAAAACAACAAAAAAAAAAAAATACAACCAAAAAAACAAAAAAACCAGGGCTCCTCACCCAAGCTACCAAACCCTACAACCCCTTCCCACGTCTGGCCAGGGCCGACCATTGGGTAAATCGCAGTGAAAAAAAATCGGCATCCACCCAAAACCGTTACCCCCCCACGGCAAACCGCAAGAACTGCCGCAGTCCAGCGTGATTATTTTTCGTTTTTTCGCGTTTTTCCCCACTCATCCCCCACCAACTCCACCAACGCCAAAGACCGCGAATGCCCACGTGGACAGGTCGACCGCCGGTGTTTCTTTCTCTCTATGTGAGCACGGGGAAAGAGTCTTTGGCCACAAAACTCTACCTGCCCCTGCCTGGGTGGACTCCGCTCCACTCCGCACCCGGGGCTGGCCGTTTTTTTTTTATTTATTTAACATTATACCTGGTCGTGGGTGTCGTTTCATCGAGACCAAACTCGGGTTGGGTGGCGAGTGATGCTGTTGTGCTGGTCAGGGTCGTCATTGGGACGCTCTTTGGCGTGATGCGGGCTGGGGGAACCGCAGGGCCTCGGGTACGGCAGAATGGCCGGTAACCGCGATGAACCGTCAGGGTTAGCGATGATGGTTCCGGCCGGGCCGTGGTGATGCGACGGACCAACGACAAAAAGCTGACGGACTGGGCGCCCTCGGCGCGAAGGGGCGTCGATGGATCCTGTTGTCTTTTCAGCCGGCACCGATATTTAGCCCACAGCCCGCCCGATTTTGGGGCATGCACAGCAAGCAGTTATCATCTTCTTCCTTTCTTTATTCTTCTTTTCGTCAACTCCGTCGCCCGCACGTCACAACGTCCTCAAAAACGCTGCTCTCAAGTTTGCCGATGCGTGCCGCCGGGCGCTATGCCGTTGGGTCCCAGCAGTTGACGCACGCCCGCATCAACCCGTAACCCCCGCAGGGTGATCTCGCCTCCTCGGTCCTCGGCGGGGGACCACTGCCGCTTTTGGCTTGTTTCCTCGCACCATGCTCTCCGGTGTGCCCGCATGTCAGCCCAAAGCCGGTGAGGTCCTGGTGCCGAATTGCGCGACCTTCATCATGGCTTCGGCAGCCGCCGTTCAGCGCCGCCATCGTTTTGCAACCGCGCGCGCCATCACGGTCCGGATCGGCTCGTACGCCCTGTTTGCCGCGGTGGTTGATGATGCCGGTGCCGATGGTTTTGCTCAAGATCAGCACGATCGCCGGTATTGGCGGCGGCGTTACTCTGACCTGCTTGCCCCGGCTCGACATGCAATGGGAACCGTGACAACCGTATTTCGTTCCGGGTCATCCACCGTGTGTCCCGCCCCACTATGAGCCTCGGCCTCGCTAGTGCCTTGCGTACCGCCCTGCAAATGAAATATGCGCCCGAATCGCCATGTCCAGCGACGCCGGGAATCCCACGACATTCAGCGCGATCAGGGGCTTGCCACCCATCGCGTACACGTCGGACAGGGAATTGGCGGCGGCGATGGCGCCATATTCGTAGGGGTCATCCGTGATTGGCGGGAAGAAATCTACCGTAACGATAAGCGCAGTTTCATCGTTGATGCGATACACAGCCGCATCATCGCCTGTTTCGGCGCCCACCAGCAGGTCGGGGTGCTTCAACAGGGGAACATAACTCAGGACCTGACCCAGGTCCTCAAGGCTAAGCTTGGCCGCTCAACCCGCGCAGTGGGAAAGTTCGGTCAGGCGGATGGGGGATTTGGCTTCAACCATTAATGCCTCGGTGGGGAGAGAGGTTAACTTCGAGATGGACTGTAAGCACACCCTACAGTTGGTATTCCGGACGCCTCAGCAGTTGCCGGGCTATTACCAGCCGCATGATTTCGTTGGTGCCCTCGCCGATTATCATCAGGGGAGCGTCGCGGTAGTAGCGTTCCACGGGGAAATCTTTGGTGTAGCCGTAGCCGCCGTGGATGCGCATGGCCTCCATGGCGACCTCGCCGCACACTTCGCTGGCGAACAGCTTGGCCATACCAGATTCCAGGTCAATTCGGTCGCCGCTGTCCTTCTTGGCGGCGGCATCGTAGACCAGCAGGCGCGAAGCCTGAATCTTGGTGGCCATGTCGGCGATTTTCAGCTGGATCGCCTGGTGCTGACTGATGGGCTGGCCGAACGTCTCCCGTTGCTGGATGTAGCGCATTGAAGCATCCAGCGCGGCCTGAGCCACGCCCACGGCGCGCGCCGCAACGTTGATGCGCCCCGTCTCCAGCCCGCTCATCACCTGGCCGAACCCCACGTTTTCCTCGCCGCCGATCAGGTTCTCGGCCGGGACGCGGAAGTCTTCAAAGAACAGCTCGCAGGTTTCGGGACCTCGGTAGCCGAGTTTTTCAAGGTGGCGGCCCACCTTGAAACCGGGGTCGCCGTTCTTTTCGATGACGAAGGCCGACAACCCCCGGTGCTTGATGGACGGGTCGGGGTCGGTGCGGGCCAGCAGGCAGAAGGCGTCGCCGGATTCTGCATTGGTGATAAACATCTTGGAGCCGTTGATGACGTACTCTTCGCCATCTTTCACGGCGCGGGTTTCCAATGCCCCCACATCGCTGCCGCCGGCGGGTTCCGTGAGGGCCAGTCCGCCACGGATTTCGCCGGTGGCCAGGCGGGGCAGAAACTGGTTGCGCTGCTCTTGGGTACCGTAATTAGCCAGCACGTAGGCCAGGATATGGTGGGTGCCCAGGGTGCCGGTCAAGGCCATGTAACCCTTGCTGATTTCTTCGAAAATCATGGCGAAGGTCGTGTAGTCCAGGCCCATCCCGCCGTATTCTTCCGGTATCGTGATGCCGAACAGACCCAGTTCCTTCATTGTGTCGATGAGGTCGTAGGGCACCGTATCTTCGGCGTCGTGCTTGGCGGCCACGGGTTCCACATCGCGACGCACGAAATCTCGCACCATGCTGACGATTTGCGTCCGAGCTTCTTCCGGCGTAGGGGCAATGGTGGTCAAGGCAGCAACTCCTCTCGAATCCCCGGTGAGAATGTCGCAAGCAGTCTATCCCAGCGGGCACAGCGGCGCAACCGAACCGCCTTGCCGGGCCGGCAAATTCTCGCCGCCCGGCAACCGGCGAGGCTATAATATCCGCTGATGATTAGCCTACGTTTAAGCATAACGTTGACCCCAGGATGATGACGATGACCACTCCATCTGCTGAACTTACTTACACTGGACTGGCCAGCGGTGTGCCCGTGGCGCGCCACCCCTTCGCGCGCGCCCGGCAACTCCATGTCCAGTTGCGGTTTCACGCCCAGCGCTACTACAACCTGGATGCGCCGGTCATTTCCGATGGGCAATACGACACGCTGCTCCAGGAGCTGCGCAATCTCGAAGCAACGTATCCGGGCTGCCGGTCCGCTGATTCTCCAACCCAACGCGTCGCCGGCGACCCGGCCGAGGGGTTCAGGCAGGTGGCGCATCCCAACCCGATGATCAGCCTGGCCAACGCCTTCGACCGCGAGGGTCTGGAGGCGTGGCATCGGCGGGTAACCGACCTGCTCGACGGGCAACCATTTCGCATGGTGGCCGAGCTGAAGATAGATGGGTTGGCGGTGCGCCTAACCTACCGCAACGGGCGGTTCGCGCAAGGCGCCACCCGGGGCAACGGCCAGACCGGAGAGGACGTCAGCCGCAACCTGCGCACCGTCCGCAGCATTCCGCTCACGCTGTCGGCGCACCCGCCAGCCGATCTGGAAGTGCGCGGCGAGGTTTATCTGCCGCTGGACAGTTTCAGGAAGATGAACGAAGAACGCGAGCGCTTGGGAGAACCGCTCTATGCCAACCCTCGCAACACCGGCGCGGGTACCATTCGCCAACTGGATCCCCAGGTTACCGCCAGCCGCAATATGCAAATGTGGGCGTACAGCCTCAACGACGCCGGTGACGCTCCGATGCCCGCCAGCCAGTGGGCGGCCCTGCAAAATCTCGGCGCCTACGGTTTTCGGGTCAACCCGTTGAACCGCACCTGCGAAACGGTGGACGAAGTCTGCGCGTTCTATGACGATATGCTGCAACGTCGCCACGACTGGAACTACGAAGCGGACGGCGTGGTGGTCAAGGTCGACAGCCTAAGCCAGCAGAATTCGCTGGGCGTTGCCGGACGCGAACCCCGCTGGGCCATCGCCTACAAATTTCCGGCTGAACGTTCAACCACGCGTCTGCTCGACATCATCATCAACGTGGGTCGCACGGGGAGCCTCAACCCCCAGGCCATTCTGGAGCCGGTGGTGGTCAGCGGGGCCACCGTGCAGCACGCCTCGCTGCACAACGAGGAGGATATTCACCGCAAGGACATCCGCATCGGTGACGTTGTGGTAATTGAGCGGGCCGGCGATGTCATTCCTCACATCATCGGCCCCGTGGAAGTCCCCGGCCGCGAGAATCTGCCCGTGTTCCGGATGCCGGCGCTCTGCCCGGTTTGCCAGACTGCCGTAGTCAAGGACGAAGGCGACGCGATGCACCGGTGCCCCAACTCGGCGTGCCCAGCCCAGTTCCTGGAGTCGCTCAAACACTTCGTCAGCCGCGGCGCCATGGACATCGACGGCCTGGGCGAACAATGGTGCCGCATCCTGATTGACCAGAGTCTGGTGTCAGATGTGTCCCATCTCTACCGGCTCACCGCGGAGCAGCTGACTGCCCTGGACCGGATGGGAGATCGCCTGGCCACCCGCATCCTCAACAACATCGAGGCCAGCAAGCAGCGGCCGCTGGTTCGCATTCTGTTTGCCCTGGGGATATTTCACGTGGGCGCCGAGGTGGCTGAGCTGCTGGCCGGCCGGTACTCCAGCATCGATGAAATCGCTTCCGCCGGCATCGCCGAACTGACCGAGATAGACGGCGTGGGCCCCAAGATTGCCGAGAGTATCGTCAACTACTTCGCAACCCGACGCAACCAGGAAACCATCGCCGGACTGAGGGCGGCGGGCGTGAAACTCTGGCAAGAACTGGCCCCGGTAGACACCTCCGCATTGCCCTGGAAAGGGTTAACCTTTGTCATCACCGGCACCCTGTCGGGCATGACGCGGCGTGAAGCGGAGGGCAAGGTCAAGGCCTTGGGCGCTGCTGCATCGTCGTCGGTATCCCGCAAGACCAACGTGCTGGTGGCCGGCGCTACGCCGGGAACCAAACTGACCACTGCCGACCGCCTCGGGGTGCGCGTAGTTGACGAAGAAGGCCTGCTGGCCCTGCTCGCCGACCCGGCGGCCCTAGCCACCAATCCTGACGAACCTACTACCTCGAACGGATCGGCGGAGACTCAGGCCGCCCTGGAGCTCGGGGAGTAGTTGTTGAGGCGGTAATTGTCGGTGGAGCGGTCGGTTATCCTGATAGCGGGCTAGCGGATCAGGCCGTACACTTTATCCGGCTGCACCACCACTATCACGGCATCCTGAGCGACCATGGCTCGGTCGTATTCTTCCCAGTCGGAGTGCTCGCTGTCGCCGCAGGCCATGAAGGCATCGCGCAACCGGAGCCGCATCGTTTCGGCCTCGGTGTTTCGGTAATCGTTCAGCGTCGCGGTGCCCTCGACCACCGCAAACTGGCGCCAGTCAGTCGCTACCGCCATTACGTTGCAACGGGGGTTGCGGCGGAGGTTGCGGACTTTGTACGACGTGCCGCGCACCGTCACAAAAATCGGAGCCTCATCGCCGGCGAAGGGAGAGGCTCCGCACACCACAATGCTGCTTTGGGCAGTCCCATCACGGCGGAAGGTCGTTATGACTCCACGGTGATTGGACTGAAAGAAGTTTTTTACGTCGCCAAATTCCATTTACTGCCTCCCTGATTGCTATTTGTTGTCGTTAGTTCAGATGTTGTTTCAGTTGGTAAATTCGTAGATGACCACATCGTCAGATGCGAATGCTTCGTTGAGCCAGCCGGCGTCCGTCCAACTCGACATACGTTTCGGGACATCCGGCCCGTAGGTCGACACTTCGCGTGGCCCGACCACCACCCAGCGCACTTCGTAGCGTTCCAGCAAGCGGCGCACCGTGTCCGCGTCAGCGCTTTCGTAGATGGTTGCAACGTCTTCCTCGCGCCCGGCGAATGCCTGATCGTCGCCACGCCATTGCCGTTGGTGGCCCTTCCAGCCCAGGATTGTGGCGCGGCCCGTCGTCGCCGAAATCCGTGCGTAATCGGTGTAATCATCGCCCACGGCTTCGACTATTCGGCCGATATTATCGGGGTTGGAGAGCCACTCGATTGCTTCATATTCCCCAGGTTCTGATGCCCTCAGATAGGATAATCCAGATAGCGTATTGTCCTGCCAACTTTCTCCGGTGTCGGCCCACCCGGTCCGTTCGACGATTGCACCGACCGGATAATAGGCGGACGCAACCAGAAAAACCGTCGCAACCACGCCGTAGGCGACCCCCAGTATCCGCAGCATGACCACCCGCAGATCCCAATCGCTGCGGCGCAAGGGAGCAACGACAATGTAATGGATGCCAACCGCGCCGGCAATCCCGAGCAGGAGCCAGGCCTGGTAGTAAACCTTGAATACTGTGTTCATTCGGTTACCGAATTGATCCGCAATGTGGAACAGTTCCGCGCCGGCGAGCAGGTAAAACCCGGCGGATGCCAGCAGCAACGCGAACACCAGCCACTGCATGGGACGCCGGCCGACTATCAACGCCAGCCCACAATAACCCGCGAGTCCTCCCATCAGCGACAGCGGTAGCGCCAGCATGAGCCGTTGCGCCACCACCCCGTCTGCCAGGGTCACATCATCGGGCGACACCGATAGCCGGAGTCCGACCGCCACCAGCCACACGAGCAACGGCGCAACGCTGACTGCCAACAGCGTCCAGGCGATAACCCGCAGTCGCGGCGTGGGCCAACCCACATACAGCACCGTCCGGGCCACCAGACCGGCGGCCAGCAGCGCCGGTACGCCTATTACCAGCAGGAAGTGAAACGGCCTGGTGGCCGGTCCCGTTACCGGCAGGATCCCTCCGGCCTGACTGTCGAACGACAGGTAAAACGGCTGATACAGCACCAATCCGGCGGCGGCCAGGCCAACTGCCAGCAAGGTCGCCCGGCCAACCGAACCCGCCAGCGCATTACCCAGCCGGGGGTTGTTGGAGTCCACCGGCCCGGTTGGCATGGTTTGCCAGGCGAACCAGCGCGCCGCCGCCGCCATGCCCACGATTGCGATGTACACCGGAAAATCCCACGCGTTCATAAAGGCCAAAGCGCCAATTGCTACCGCCAGCGCCGCGGCTTCCCAGGGCCGCCGCCGCAGCCAGTCCAGCCCGGGCGGTTCCGGCGACACCAGCAACACCAGCGTGAACGCCAGCGCCAGCAGCAAAAACGGGAGAGTTGTAACGTGGGCGTGCAGATCGCCCAGCAGGAAGCTGAAAAAGGGAAACTCGGTGATGGTGTAATCCAGAGCCGCGCCGTCTGGGCCCAAAGTGTCGATCACCCGGGTGCCGCGCCACCACCACCAGAATCCACCGGGCAGCCAGCCGTCACCGCCGGCCGGTCCTTCCAGTCCCTTGATGCCAACCCATCCCCAGAATCCATCGCCGCCAAAGCCGCGGACGTAGGCCAGCTCCAGCAGCCCGATGAGGTTGCCCAACGATAAAACACTCACCGCCGCGGCAGCCCCGGTCGCCAGCGACGGAATCACCCTGCCGCCGGCGAAGCGGAGCAGGTTGTACACTAGCCCCAACAACCCCGCCGCCAGCAATGCTGGTACTGTAGCAATCGCCAGGTTGTATGCCGTCGCCGCAGGAACGCCCGTCAGCGTGGTCAACATTGCGGCGACGTAGTGTCCTCCGTAGTAGTAGGCGATACTGTGCCCCGCCAGCCACTGGTCTTCCGGAGGAAACGTTTCGGCGTTGACAATGGCATTCAGGATGCCAAAATCCATCGGCTTTTCGGTGTGGTTGATCGCCGGCGCCTCGCTGATTACCAGGGCCCAAAACGCGAACATCGCCAGAAACAACACCTCGGTGCCGACCACCACCGTCCAGCGTCGCCGGAAGAAATCGGCCAGCTGCGCACGTTGTTGGTAGGCCAACCAGATGGAGCCAGCAACCATCGCCAACAGTACGCCGGCGATGGCCTTCGACGAGTTGGGCAAAACCCCGATGCTGCCGCCCATCCACGAAACCCAACCGAGGATCAACAGGCCGAGCGTTGCCGATACCGACCAGCCCCGGTCGGCGAGTCGGCCCAGCAGCAGGTGCGCCGCTGGAAACGCCACCAGGGACAACACCCTCAGCGCGATCAACCAGGCCAGGACGTCGTACACGTTACGATGGCAGGGTGGTCAGGCCGCCGGCGCCAGCAGTGCGTCGACAAACCCTTCTGGGTCGAACGGCGCGATGTCGTCCAGGCCCTCGCCGGTCCCAATGAACAGTATGGGTACACCCAACTCCCGGCGGATGGCCAGCACGATGCCGCCGCGAGCGGTGCCGTCCAGTTTGGCCAGGAAGATGCCGGTGCAACCCACGGCATCGGTAAAAGCTTGCGCCTGGGTCAGTCCGTTGTGTCCCGTGGTTGCATCCAGTGTCAGCAGCACCTGATGCGGAGCAGCTTCATCCAGACGGTTGATGACCCGCCGCACCTTACGCAATTCGTCCATCAGGTTGTTGCGAGTATGCAGGCGGCCGGCAGTGTCTACGATGAGGATGTCAGCGCCGCGGGCCCGGGCTGCCTGCCACGCGTCGTAGGCGACCGCGCCCGGGTCAGCTCCCGGCTGGTGACTGATAACGTCCACGCCAACCCGTGCCCCCAGAATCTCCAGCTGTTCCTCGGCGGCGGCGCGGAAGGTGTCGGCGGCGCCCAGCACCACTTTTTTGCCGGCCCTGGTGAAGTGGTGGGCCAGCTTGGCTATGCTGGTCGTCTTGCCCACCCCATTAACGCCGCACATCAGGATGACGTAAGGCAGCGCGATGGCATCGTCGTCCAGCCAGGCATCGGCATCAGATTGCGAGGACATCTCAGCCGACAGCAGCTGTTTCAGGCGCAAAAATACGCTATCCCCATCGGTAGCACGACCCGAACGCACATCGGCGCGCAGTTCATCCAGCACCGTCATGGTCGTGGACACCCCAACGTCGGAGGAGATGAGCACCTCTTCAAGCTCGTCCCAAACCGAATCGTCCAGTTCCGCAGACCCGAGCAAGTTACGGATGCGTCCGAACCAACTGTCCCGACTGCGCTTGACGCCGGCATCAGTCTGCGTCTGGTTAACCTCTTCCCGGTTACGTTTGAATATGGAAAACATCGCAAGCCAGATTATCAGCGGGTGCGTCGCCGCGCAAGCATAGCAGCGGTCGCGCCGGAGCCTTTCTGGCATAGTTAAATAGGCCCGACCACCGCGCTGTTATCGCGGGGAGCGCAGTGACGTGGCGACCGCGGTGCGCTCGAACGCCCGCCGGCCAACCGCCGTTGCTATGGCGACGAGGTTGCGACGCTACGCGCGCAATGACAGAGTGGGTACGCGTGAGCCACCGTCGGGTCATGTGTATTCAATTAATCTGTCATTGCGAGGAGCATAGCGACGTGGCAATCTCGATGAGATTGAATATGCGTCGACGAACCGCCGTTGCTACGGCGACGGGATTGCCGCGCTGTGCTCGCAATGACAGAGCGGGTACGCGTGGGCTACCGTCGGGTGACGCGTATTCACTTAAACTGTCATTGCGAGGAGCATAGCGACGTGGCAATCTCGATGAGGTTGAGCATACGTCGACGAACCGCCGTTGCTAAGGCGCCGAGATTGCCACTCTACGCTCGCAATGACGGAGTGGGTAGCCACGAGCCGCCGTCGGCCATTGACCTCCCGGCATCGGTGTGGTACCGTCGGAGCGCACAAACGAATATAGATTCTCGCGGGAGCTTGGTTAAGCCAGGCTGAGAGGGTGGCCGTAAAAGCCGCCGACCGAAATACCTGATCCGGATAATGCCGGCGTAGGGATACGAAACGCCACTCCTTACCGCCGCGTTCAGAAAACTTGGCGGTTTTTGTTTGTCGAGCGTCGTTGGAAGGCGGTACAAAAAGGAGGGGCCATTATGCTGGATACCACTTTTGGCATTGCGACCGTATTGGTAGTCTGCGCCGTATTCTTGATCCTGGGCGTCATCTACATCGGACGCCGCCGACAGAGCGTTGAAGAGTACACCGTGTCGCGCAACCATGCGCCGGTTAACGTCGGCATCGCCACACTGGTGGCCTCAATGTTTGGCACGTGGGTGTTGCTCAGCCCGGGCGAGTCAGGTGCCAACTTCGGCATCGTCTCGCTGGTTGGCTATGCGCTGGGCATGGCAGGCATCCCGGTGATGTTCATGTTTGTCGGCCCACGGATCCGACAACTGATGCCCAACGGTCATTCGGTTACGGAGTACGTGAAACACCGGTTCGGAACTCCGTCATTCGTCGCCATTGGGGTAGTCATCATTTTCGTGATGGGCATTTTCATCACCGCCGAAATGACGGCCATCACCGCGGCGGTGAGCATCCTGACCGGCTCGCCGGCATGGGCCACTGCCGTTGCGGTGGGTGTGGTGGTGGTGGCGTACACGGCCTACGGCGGCCTGCGCGTGTCCATATTCACCGACCGCATCCAATTCTGGGTGTTGATACCGGTGCTGCTCCTGTTGGTGGTAGTGGCTGCAGTCCTGGTTGGCGGAACCGGTGTATGGGATTCCGCCGCTCAGGCTGGGCTTCTCTCGGTGAGCTCTTCCGGCAGCTACTTTTTCGCCATCGTGCTGATAATCGGCATCGTGGCGTCAAACGCCTTTCACCCCGGCATGTGGCAGCGCGTGTACACGGTGGAGAGCCAGCGCGCGCTCAACCGAAGCCTCTGGGGAGCCGCCGCGCTGGCTATACCGATTACGTTCCTGATGGGGATGGCGGGCATCGCCGCCGTGGGCAATGGTTCCGTCGGCCCGTTTGAGTACCCGAGAGTTGCCGCCGCCCTGTTCACTCTGGCATCAGACGTGTTCCCGTTGTGGATGCACTTCCTGCTGCTGGTGTGTGCGCTCATGCTGGCCATGAGCACGCTCGACACGATGATGAACGGACTCGCCAGCAGTGTCGCAACTGATCTCTCCAGCTTTGGTGTTCAACGCAGCACCTTGATGGTGCTGGCCCGCGGCGTTACCGTCGTTATTTCCATTCCAGCCATCATCGTCGGCGCACAGGGATTTAGCGTACTGTACGTGTTCCTAATCGCCGACCTGCTGGGAGCGGCCATCGCGGTGCCGATGCTGGTTGGCCTTTACTCCCGACGGATGCCCGGATGGGGGGTGTTGCTGGCCGGGGGAGTCGGTATTATCGTCGGCGCGTTGTTCTATCCGGCCCCTGACCTTATCTCCCCCACGGGTTTCGGCTTCACCGCGCCAATGGTTTTGGGACTAGCGGGGGGGCAAATGTTCTGGGCCTTCGCCTCCGCATTGGTAGTCTCGTCCGCAATTTCCGCCGTGGTGGTTCTGATACGGCGAATGACCTCCCCCCAACAACAGTACGACTTCACCATCCTGAGTTCGAACGTGCTGCTGATTGACGAGCCCGCCGCCGGTAACGACTAGGCAACAGGTGGCCGTGCGAGTGCCACGACCGAGAAACGGCGCCCTTCGACAAGCTCAGGGTGAGCGGTACATAGTTTCGCCCCGCTCATGGTGAGCTTGTCGAACCATGTCTTGAGATTGTTGCTAACTACTTGAACACGGCCAGGCACTTGGTCGAGTTGAAGATGTAGGTTTCGTACCAATCTACAATCTCTGCCCGGTAGCCCAGCTTGTCCATCGCACCGGCCAGGCACATCCAGTTCAGCAATTCCTGCTGCCCGGCGTCCTCGATCTGTTCAGTCGAGATGCGACTCCAGGCATGGTAATCGCCGGACTTCAACTCCTCGAACCGCGCGCGATCTGACTCGATGTCGGGATAGAGCCAATGGTGCTTTTCGGTGAGGAAGGCGTGCGACCAGGACGACGATGCAATCAGCGCCACCCGCCAGGGCGACTCCTGCAATGCCGCGGCAGCAGCGGCTCCCACTTCCAGGCAGCGTTTGGGTGACGGGCCGGGCGGATCCGGCTCGGGTGAGTATTCAGTAGTCCCACCTTTGTTGCGGATGACCCGGCTGCCGTAGCAGTTCACCAGGAACGGCACCACGGGATAATCGAACCCCTTGCGGTCGTAGTCCAGGTAAAGCAGGGTGTTGAGGATGGCGTGGCCGAGGCCGGGCTCGTGCAGCGGCTGGTAGGCGTAGGCCATGTCGACGCCCCGGTCGATCATGCCCGAAACCAGCGCCCGGGCGCCGTCCTTGTGGCCCGCATAGTTGAAGGTGGTATCGGGTGTTTCGCCCCACACGTTGCGGCGCGTGGAACCGTCGCCATTGGCGAACGGTTGGCAGTTGAAATCGTCAAAAGCCAGCACACAGAAAGGCGGGATGATGTCTTCCCGGAAATTCTCGTACTGGTCGTCTCCCCAGATCACAACAAAGTCGGGATTGAAGGCATCCAGTTCCCGGCGCAGTTGTCGGAACCCGGCAACCATCCGTTCGCGCAGGCGCACCGCCGAAGCGTACCCTTCGTCTTCACCGTACTCGATGCGCATGGGCTCCGGCCAGTTCATCGGGTTCTTCATCTCGGCCGGCACGCGGTCGTTGGTGCGTAGGGTCCGTTTGAGGGACGATTCACCGTCCTCGTCAGGTCTGATAAATGATGGCGAATGGGTCAGTCCCAACCCTAGTAGTTCAGCCATGATGCCGCTCCTTGATGTGGGAAATCGGCAGGTGCGACGAATGTGTCGCGCCTGCCGATGGCAACCATAGAGGTCGTGATGCTACTTAAATATCGCGAGGCATTTGTTGGAGTTGAACACATAGGTTTCCACGTAGTCCAGGATTTCCGGCTTGTAGTCCAGCGTGTCCATCGCTCCCGCGAGACACATCCAGTTCAGCATTTCCTGCTGACCGGCGTCCTCGACCTGGGCAGTGGAGATGCGGCCCCACGCTTGATAATCGCCGGCCTTCAGCTCCTCGAAGCGGGCGCGGTCCGACTCTACGTCGGGCCACAACCAATGATTCTTCTCCACCAGGAAGCCATGCGACCACGATGAGGAAGCGATGATTGCCACGCGCCAGGGAGAGTCCTGCAACGCCTGGGCGGCGGCGGCTCCCACTTCCAGGCAACGCTTGGGCGACGGCCCGGGCGGATCGGGTTCCGAGGAATATTCAACGCTTCCACCCTTGTTGCGAATTACGCGGCTGCCGTAGCAATTGACCAGGAACGGCACCACCGGATAATCAAAACCCTTGCGGTCGTAGTCCAGGTAGAGCAGGGTGTTCAGAATGGCATGCCCCAATCCAGGTTCGTGCAGCGGCTGATAGGCGTAGGCCATGTCTATGCCCCGGTCAATCATCCCTGAGACGAGCGCCCGGGCGCCGTTCTTGTGGCCCCGATAGTCGAAGGTTGCGTCCGCTGCCTCTCCCCACACGTTGCGGCGGGGGGAACCGTCCCGGTTGGTGAACGGCGTGCAGAGGAAGTCGTCGTATGCCAGGACGCAGAACGGCGGGATGATGTCCTCTCGGAAGTTCTCATACTGGTCGTCGCCCCAAATGACGACAAAATCGGGATTGAATGCGTCCAGCTCCTCGCGGATGCGGCGGAAACCGGCCACCAGCCGGGCGCGATGCTCCAGGGACGATGCGTAACCCTCGTCCTCGCCGTATTCGATCCGCATCGGTTCCGGCCAGTTGGTGGGAATTTTCATTTCAGCCGGAATGTTGGCGTTGTTGCGCAGCGACCGCTTGAGCGGGATTAGCTTGTCTTCGTCAGGTGCAATCAGCGGTGGGTAGTGAGTCAGGCCCAAGCCAAGAATTTCTGCCATATCTTCACCTTCTTGTGTCCGATATTCGGCGCGTTTTGCCAGTGATGTTCAGGATGTCGCCATTTTGCTTGCCCGACACTTTACTGTCAACTCGCGGAACTTCGCATCCCAACGCCAGGTACGTTCATACTTGGGATCGCTATACTCCTACCCGCACTGAGGTACCGGCGTCGACCGATGATCGGCTGGAGCTCATACCCTGGCTCCGCTTCATCGAAGTGCCTGGATACGCCGCGACACTGGGCCCCAACCGAGGTAAGTGACGAGGTCACAGAATGGGGACACGTTCCGCCATATCGATAATTGTTGCCCTGATGGCGGTTGCCGGGATTGCGATCGCAGCATTGCTGATGGCAATGAATTCCTCAGACGGCGGCGCAGACCCAACGGTGTCGGAACAACCCGCCATACCGCAAGCCACGCCGTTGGCATCCGTTGCAACGGCCCAGCAGATTTTTGCCAACCAGTTGTATTGGGGTGTAACGGATCCCAACGACTCATTCCCCGAACCGCGTGGGGATGAGTTTGGTGAGAGCGACCTATTCTTGAATGTTGCTACCGGGGACGTCTTCGAACTGGTTGGCGGGCAATGGGCGTTTCCATCGGTGGGCTCGCTCACTGGCCCGTCCGGTCCATGGGGAACGGGTTGGTATTGGGGTAACGGAGCTCCCGGGCCGGGGAATGTGGTTTCCAGGGGCCAAGGGTTCCAAACTGGCGACCTGTACCTGGATGCGACGACCGGGGAAATTTATGGATATGCAGCTGACGGTTGGCCAGAGATGCCGTTGGGATCGCTGCGTTCGCCCGCCGGCGCACCAGGAAACCGATGGTACTGGGGCCAGGGCGCACCGATTGAACGGCCCCCTGCGCCCCGGGAAGGCGGGTTCGTGCCGGGCGATCTTTACCTCGACATCGGCAGCGGCGAAGTATATGAGCACGAGGTTGACGCCTGGGGAACATCGCCCATATTCGCGTTGATCCAACACTCAGCGGGTGGCCTGTCCCGCTGGCGGTTGGGGCTCGGACACCCGGACTCGGCGCTCACGGGGAGAGATGAGCTGGCGCTGGAGGATGGGGATTTATACCTGGATGCGAACTCGGGGCGGATCTACCGGTTCTGGAACGAGATGTGGCTTTTGTTGCCCGCGGCATCCGGGTCGGGCGGAACGGGAGGAACGCAACCGGCGGCGAGTGGCCCGGATGGCAATCGGTGGTATTGGGGGATGCGCGCACCGGGGCAGGATGGGCCGGTGCCCATCGGCGCTGAGTTTCAGTCGGGCGATCTATTTCTTAATGTCGCCAACGGAAACGTGCACCAATTCGACGGGTCGCAATGGGATTCCGTTCCGCTAGGGTCACTCCAGGGTCCTTCAGGATCGGATGGGAGTGACGGGTCGGACGGTGGGCGCGGCCCGCCGGGGCCATCCGGTGCGGCCCAAGGGCCACCAGGAGTGCCGGGGCAACCGGGTCCGCAGGGTCCGGCGGGAGTACGGGGGCCGACGGGTGTCGAGGGATTGCCAGGGGAGCAAGGGCCAGTAGGAGCTATGGGCCCAAGGGGGGAACCAGGAGCGCCGGGCCCCCAAGGATTGCGTGGAGAGCAAGGGCTGGTGGGGTCACGCGGGGAACAAGGGTCGCCGGGAGAGCAGGGACCGGTGGGGTTACGTGGGCAACAAGGGTCGTCGGGAAATCAGGGCGCAGAAGGCCCCATTGGTCCGCGAGGGGACCCGTGGGATAAAGGCGCCACCGGGGACCAGGGACCGCCCGGAGGCGCCGTCGGTCCGCAAGGTCCGCAAGGGCTGCCGGGACTCCAGGGTGAAAGAGGCGAGACGGGACGCATTGGAAGGCCCGGAAAAACCGGTCTGCAAGGAGATTCGGGCGTCCAGGGGAGCCAGTGGTATTTCGGATCAGGCAACCCAACCGACAATCCTCCAGGCACCAGGGGAAGCGGCTTCAACGTCGGTGACATGTACTTCGATATTACCGGTTGCGGGATCTACGCCTACGAGAGTGCGGGTTGGGGAGCTTCGCCGATCGTTACGTTGTCAGGCTGTTCTTAATCCCATCGTAGATGGGCGGATGATCTTTCAGCGCAGTTGCACGACCGTGACGCCACTGGCGCTGCCACCTTCGCCCGGTTCTGTCGACGCAACCAGCGGGTGTCCCGTCAGGAATTCCCGCACCGCCCGACGCAGCGCGCCGGTGCCCTTGCCGTGGACAATCTTCAACGAGGTCATGCCCTCCAGTGCGGCATCGTCCAGCAGCGAGTCGATGACGGTCAGCGCTTCATCCACGCGGTAGCCGTGCAGGTTCACCTCCGGGCTCAGGGTGCGCTTGTTGGCGGGTCGGCGGTAAACCACGCCGGCGCGCTCGGCGGTGGGATGCACCCGGTCGGCCAGACGATCCAACTGGTAAACGGGGATGCGGGCTCGCATGCTTCCGATTACCACTTCCACTTCCTGGTGCTGATTGGGAATGGAAACGATTTCCACCGGTCGCGCCACGCCGCGGATGTACACCCGGTCGCCGACTTTCAATTCCTGGTACCAGGGCGGCCGCTCCACCGGTATCGGTTCCCAATCAGCGGAAGCGACCTCGCGCTGGGCTCGGGCGAGGCGTTGGCGCTCCTCGCGTAAACTTATTGTGGCGCTCTCCTCGACCTGCTGGCGATGGAGCGAGCGTTCCGCCTGCCGGATCTGGTTCACCACGCCCCCGATTTGCTGGGTCAATTCCCGGCGTGCTTCTTCGACCAGTTCCGCCTTGGTCTCCTCCACCGCTTCCAGGCGCTCCGCCGCTTCCTGTTCCCGCTGGCGCGCCGCGGCCAAGGTTTGCTCAACCTGCTGGCGCAACTCCGACACCGTAACCCGCTCTTCCTGCAGTTCCTGCAACAGGCGGTCGGTTTCGAGGTGCTCCGACGACAGGTGGGTTTGCGCCCCGGCAATCACCGACTCCGGCAGGCCCAACCGCGCCGCAATGGTCAGCGCGTAGCTGCGTCCCGGGACGCCGTGGGTGAGCTGGTAGGTGGGTTCCAGGGTCCGGGGGTTCAAATCGACGCTGGCGTTGATCATGCCGGATTGGTCCTGGGCCAGCCGCGCCACGTTGCGGTGGTGCGTGGTAGCCACCACCATCACGTTGCGGTCGCGAAACTCCGAGAGCAACGCGGCGGCCAGCGCCGAACCTTCTTCCGGGTCGGTGGACGAACCCAGTTCGTCGATGAGGATCAGGGAACTGGTAGTGGCCGAATCCATAATTTGCCGCAAGTTCCTGATGTGGCTGCTGAAGGTGGACAGCGATTCGATGATGCTCTGCTGATCGCCAATGTCGGCATAGATGCCATCCAGTAGCGGTATGTCGGCATCGTCGGCGGGAACCTGCAGCCCGGCCAATGCCATCATTGCCAGCAAACCCACGGTTTTCAGGGCCACGGTTTTGCCACCGGCGTTGGGGCCGGTAATGAGCAGAACGCTCTGGTCCGACCCGATGTTGATGGTAGTCGGCACGATCTCCCCGGTAAGCAAGGGATGCCGGGCGCCGGTGAGCCGAAACTGGCGGGGTTCATCGAGGCCAGCCACGTGAGGTGGAACCGCCCGCAGCGCTGCTCCGTAGCGGCCTTTGGCAGCCGCCAGGTCCAGCCGGCCCAGCAGGTGCAGGGCGAGCGTAATCTCTTCGGCGTAACGGCCCACCAGGGACGACAACTGACGCAGCACCCGTTCCTCTTCGCGTCGCTCCGCCAGGCGGGTTTCCCGCCAGCGGTTGCCCAGGTCGATGGCTGGCATGGGTTCGATGAACACCGTGGCGCCGCTGTCGGACACATCGTGGATGATTCCGGGTGCCTGCCCCTTGAAATCGGTCTTGATGAGCAGGACCATGCGCCCGTTGCGTTCGGTTACGATGTTCTCCTGCGTAACGCCCGATCGCTGGTAGCGTCGCAGCGAACGTTGCATCACGTCGTTCAGGGCCGCATAGGCAGAGCGGGAGTCCCGGCGCAATCGCCCCAACTCCGGCGACGCATCGTCCAGCACCTCGCCAGAAGGCCCGATGGCCCGGTTCACTGCGCTTTCCAAATCCGGCAGGTCGGGGAAATTCTCCGCGGTAGCTGCCAACAGGGGCAGGTCTTCCCGGTTGCTCAGGGCGTTGCGGTTCCACCGGGCTGCCGCCGCCAGCGTCCCGAAGTGGCGCAATTCCTCGCCGCGCAGAACACCACCCAACAACGCCCGCTGAACGGCCGGGCGCAGATCCTCAACCGGCCCCAGTTCCAGTGCGCCGGTGGTGTCCAGCAGTCGGCGTGCTTCGGCGGTTTCCTGTTGCCGCATCGCCACATCTCGCCCATCTGCCGTGGGCGCTAACTCGCCAGCGGATTCTGCGCCAATCACGGTACGCGTGGTCGCCGCCAGCTGCTGCCTGATTTGGTCGAATTCCAGCAGTCCCGAGGCGCGCTGGAATCCGTCCCGGGGCAGGGCCGGTGAATCCTCGGTAGTCGTCATGCCCGAGATTATACCCGGCGGAACGCCGGGTTGACGTGTGCGGACGCGTCCAATCTTGCTTTCCGAAGCGGAGTTGTGCCGATGTTTAGTCGGGCCAATGCAGCGGGTACACGCGACACTCGTACAGCATGGCGCCCACCTCGTCCAGAGCGGCGCGCTTGGGCTCGCGAACGTCCAGCCTCCGAGCCAGGGTGATGGGAGTCAGCCGTTGCAACAGGTTGGATTCCTTGATGAACCCATCGATGGTGCTGGCTTCGCCACCAAGCGCAACGTAATCGAATTTGTCCGCGTACGAACGCCATTGCTCGGTCAGAACCTGCGACGCTTTGACATACAGGCGGTGAATCTGATGCTCCCGCACCCGCTGAAAACGACGTTGGGAAGTGCCGCCGGCGTGATGTTTGCCTTTCACATAGCGGGTGTCAGTTTTGGACACCAGCAACTCGCGCCCGCGATACACTGCGATGGCATATCGACCCAACCGCAGCAGTGCCACGCCCACCGTGTACTCGGTGGCCAGCAAATTCCTTAGCGGTTCGTCGTCAATAATACCTGAAACCAGATTAGTGCTCAGCGGCAGCCCGGGCAAAATCGCGAGGCCGACGTGGCCGACCCGGAACGCGGCGATCCCGGTCTCCGAACGCAAGACGCGGCTGCCGGCATTTTCCAGCGTCTGTATCCACGCCAGGCCCTCCGGTTCTTTAGCCAGGGCCGTTATGACGGCATCCCGGTTGGCGTCAGGTAGGTAGATGGTGCCGGCCGGCGCGGAGGTTTCAGCCTCAGATTGCAGCCGGTCCAGGGCGCGGCAGACCGCTTCGGCGGAAAGGGTTTGGCCGGCGCGGTAACGCTGGTCAATGCTGGCTCCTAGCGTGGTCATACCACATCATAACCGATGGTGATTGACGATACGCGACTGCCGGTGAGAACTCCGCCAATGTGCCATAATGTTTGGCGAAATGACGGCAAAACGAACTTTCAGGTGCTGACGATGGTTTCACACGAAATGCCCGACGACCCGAACGCCGGTGTCCTCACCACTACCCAGAGGCAAGACCGCGCCCTGCGGCGTTTGGATGATGGCCACGCGGCATTCCTGGATGCGTTGTCCGATCTGGACGAAGCGGAGGCCTTTCTCGGTTCGCGCTGGTCGGTTTGGGAGGTGATGCAACACCTGCTGACCGAAAACTTCGTGCAAGCGCTGGAAGAGATTGCATCCGGGGAACGCGAAATGTTGCCGGCATTCGATGGCCGGGCCAACCGAATCGCCGCTGACATTGCCCGCCTGGAATCCAACTACCAGCGATTTCGCGCCTTGATTACCGGACTGTCAGAGAGTCAGTTGAACCTGCCGGCCACACCCCCCAACCCGGAAAACGATTTCCCCGGATTGTCGATACTGGACCTCGTCGAGAGGGTGTCCGGGCACGAGGGCAACCACGCCCGCCAGGTGGTGGAAACCAGGAAATTCGTCGACGCGTTTAGCTCTGCTGAACGCGCAATCACCGTGGCCGGCCTGGGCACCGGCAACACGGCGGAGGTTCCAATGCAAACCCGAGAGTTGTTGGCCAACGCCGACTACGTGGTCGGTTCGGATCAGGCTCTGGCGACGGCACGGCGCTGGATACGAGGCGTGGAACTCCGGCTACGCTCCGACAACCGTAACGAGCTGGTCAACCGGCTGGTGCGCGACGCCCGCGCCGGCCTCTGGTCAATGGTTGTTACGCTGGGTGACCCGGCTGAATCAGCGCCAAACCTGCTGCATCACCTGCGGCAGGACGTGAGCGCCGTATCCCTCGTGTCAGCTCCCGGATACTACCGCGCTTCGCTGAACGAAACTGGCATTTCGCCGTTACAGGCGGTATGCATCTCAGCTGAACACGTCCACAACGCAGTTGCGCCGGCCCACCTCACGGAGAGGTCCACGGTCGTGTTGGGCGCCGATGGTGTCGGGACGTGGTGCGACATCGCCACCGCGCTCTTGCAATCCGGTGCGCCGGGAGAAGCTGCCGTGCAGTTGGTGACTGGCCTGGCCGACCGGCCATCGGTTGCGGCGTCAACACTGATCGAAGTGGCGAACACTGCGGTCGGCGAGCTTCCAGCCGCGATTGATTCTGCCCTGATTCTGCCAGGGTAGTGAGCGAAGTGGTTAGCGGGTGGCGTCCGCTCCGTTTGGATTGGTTCAGATGTGAGGCAATTGCAGCGTAGTGCAAAATCGCAGTGCCTTTCGATTCTCGGTTAAATGTCCCCGGCACATCCTGAGCCGGTTTAAAGATGGCCTGGAACCGGTCGAACCATGTGTTTACGGCCTTTCTACAGCTCAGGATGGTCCTTCGAAGAGCCCAGGCGAAGAGCCCAGGATGATCCTTCGACCAACTCAGGATGAGCGGGGGATGTATGGTGGTCAATCTAAAAACCCTGGCAGAACCGCGGTATTGGTGGCCGCTGCCGTGTCGGTGTGATAGATTGCCAGCGAGTTTGCCGCCGGTGGTACAGCCGGCACCACGCATCGACAGACGACCCGATAGTCGGCTACACAGCACCTATCGGACTCAAAATTGCAAAACAATAATGGAGGACGCCTGATGGCTGAGCGGATTGGATTTGTTGGGCTGGGAATCATGGGGAAGCCCATGGCCCGCAATTTGATGGCGGCTGGGTATGAGCTCACCGTATACGACATTGTCGGCGAGCCGGTGGAGGAGTTGGCAACGGAAGGCGCTTCGGCGGCGTCCTCGCCCCGGGAGGCCACAGTCAACAACGTTAGAACCATCACCATGCTGCCCGACTCTGCGGATTCGGAGCGGGCCATCCTCGGGCCCGACGGCGTGCTGGGAAGGCGCGTCGCCCGGGTCGGTGATTATCGACATGAGCAGCATTGCCCCGTCAATGTCGCAGAAGATTGGCGTCGCCTGCGCCGACAAGGGCGTTGAATTCCTGGATGCACCCGTGAGCGGTGGAGAGCCGGGAGCCATCGGCGGCACACTGGCCATCATGGTTGGTGGCAAGCAGTCGGTGTTCGACGACTGCGAACCTCTGCTGCAAGTAATGGGCGGCAACGTAGTGCTGACCGGAGATGTCGGAGCGGGCAACATTACCAAATTGGCCAATCAGATTATCGTTGCCGCCAACATCGAGGCGCTGAGCGAGGCGATGGTACTGGCTCAAAAGGCCGGTGTGGACCCGGAGCGCGTCTTCAACGCCATTCGCGGCGGGCTGGCCGGCAGTGCAGTCATGGAAGCCAAAGGCCCAATGATGTTGGATCGCAACTTCCGGGCCGGGTTCCGCATTCGGTTGCATCAGAAAGATTTGCGCAACGTGCTGCAAACTGCCGGTGAGCTAAACGTGCCGCTGCCGGTAACGGCGCTGGTTCAGCAGATGCTCGGCTCGCTGATGAACGACGGCGAGCACGACGCCGACCACTCCGCCATCCTGCACTTCATCGAGCAGATGGCCGGCGTGGAGGTCAAGCGGGGGGGCTGATCACCCTCACCCTGGCCCTCTCCGTCAAGGGAGAGGGAATCATTAATCCGGAAAGCGGCCCCGACTCCATTCCAGCGCGGCCCGCAGCCCGCTCTCAGCCCGGATGCGGCTGAATTCAGCCTGTTCGGGCGTCTCAGCGGTATCGAACTGGGTCATCAGTTCCAGGTTGTGGTGCAGCCCGGAAATGAAACCGGCAGACTCAAGCGCACGGTTGATGGACAACTTGGTGGTCTTGATGCCGATGGCCGAGATCCCGCGCATCTTCTGGGCGACTCGTTCGCATTCCGCGATCAACTGATCATGAGGCACCACGCGGTTGACCATGCCGATGCGGGCGGCCTCGTGCGCGTCGATTATGTCCCCGGTAAGCATCATCTCTTTGGCCATCGCGAGATTGACCGAGTAGGGAGTCATCAGGAAAGGCGCGCCGTAGCCGAGGCGTATTTCCGGCTCACCCAGCATGGCACGGTCAGAGGCAATCTTCACATCGCAAACCTGCACCAATTCGCAGGCGCCGCCCAGAGCGTAGCCATTCACGGCCGCGATGACCGGCTTGCCCAGGTTCCACACCATCAGGAAGGTGTCGATGGATGCCTTGAGGCGCGAACGCCGGCCGTCCACGGACAGCCGTTCACCAGTGTCGCTCTCGGCGGCTTCCGATTCGATGTCGAAACCGGCCGAGAACGCCCGCCCTGCGCCCGTAAGGATAACCACCCGCACATCGGGGTTGGCCTCGATTCCTTCCAAGGCCTCACGAAACTCGGCCATCAGAGTTTGGCTGAGGGCGTTGAGCTTCTCCGGACGATTGAGCGTGAGGTATCCGATGCCATCTCGCTCATCGTATAGCAGCGTCGCAAAGGCCATGCTTGTTACTCGCCGAGGTCGTACTACTGGCCGATTATCTCCACCGAATTAATCACCACCGGGGATACCGGGGAGGAACCTTCTGCGTTGGGGCGTGTCTCCGCAGTGGCGATTGCGTCAATGGTTTCCAGACCGGCAATGGCCTGGCCAAAGATGGTGTAGTTGGGTGGTAGACCGTAGTCAGCGTGCATCAGGAAAAACTGGCTGCCATTCGTATTTGGGCCGGCGTTGGCCATCGCCATAGTGCCCCGAGTATATGGCCGGCTAACCGGTTCATCGGCAAACTGATAGCCAGGCCCTCCGGAGCCCGTTCCCGATGGGTCTCCGCCCTGGATCATAAATCCGTCGATAACGCGGTGAAATATTACGTTGTCATAGAAGCCTTCCCGAGCCAGGAACACGAAGTTGTTCACGGTTTTGGGAGCTTCCCGGGTTAGTAATTCCACGGTGATAGAACCCGCAGACGTGTTGATGACGGCAGTATAGGGAGCGGCAGAGTCGATGACCTGCGTTGGCGGCACGCTCCACTGCTTTACGGACCGACCCCCGGACACCTGCACTTGCGGCGTGGACGCGCCCGACTGGGTCGTATTGTTGCCCGGCTGCGTGGCTGGTTGAGTCGGAAGGAGGCCAGAATCGCCGGCAGATTGATCCGTCCCGGAGGTGGTTGACCCGGAATCGGTCGCCGCGGTTGGGGTGGCGTCGGGCTGCCCGAAATTGGGGTTGCCAAGCAACGTGCAGGCGCTCAGCGCCATTGCAGCGACGCTGATCGCGAGGATTGTAGTCAGTAGTTTTTTCGGCATCGTCATCATTAACAATCGTCTACATCGGTTAAGAGGGTCGGGGGTTAGAAATGTCGGGGGGTTAGTAAGGTCGGGTAATTTTGGCGACTTCTTTCAGCGCATCCAGGCTGAATTGCTCTGATTGGCACAGCCCGATGGTCTGCTGTTCGTAGTCGGCGATAGTGCGCACCATATCAGGTATACGGTCGGCAAGGTCGAAGGGGATGTTAGTGACTCCGTGCTTGTCCCCGTGCAGCAGGTCGCCGGTGTGGACGGTCAAGCCGCCGACTTCCACCGGTATTCCCATGTCCACCATGTGGACGTAGGCGTGGGAGACTGACACTTCCTTGGAGAAAAACTGGAAGCCCAGTTCGCGAACCTCGTCCAGGTCGCGTACGGTGCCATCGGTGGCCACCGCCAGCGCGCCCAGCGCCTTGTGAATATTGGACTGCACCTCGCCCCAGTAGGCTCCCAGGGGCGGGTTGTCGATGTCGTGCAGCACGATGAAGCGCGGCTCTGGCACGGACACAATCAGGTCCCACCAATCTTCTCGGCGTACGCTGTGGCCCTCGGGTCGGTTGGCGGAAATTACTCCGGTTACGGCGTAACCCACCACGGGCGTGAATTCCTGGAACACGGCCTTGATTTCCGGGAGCATGAAGCCAGCATTTTTGGGCCGGTAATCAAACCCTTCGATGGCGTTGCAGATGCTGGGGGAGTCAATTTGCGACAACGCTTTCAGGGTGGCGTCGCTCACGGTTTGATACACGGCCGGGCCTCCTCGGTAGGCTGACAGATGCGATGCCGGCTTCCTGCCGGCATTACTTCAAGGGTACCATAATGCAGATTGCGCCGATAGAAGAGATGCGCCCTCACGCGTAATCGCTTTCGTCGGTCATTGTCAGGAGCGCCCGCTCATCCCGAGCTCGTCGAGGGACGTGGCAATCTCGATGAGGCTGAACGCACGTCGACGAATCGCCGTTGCTACGGCGACGGGATTGCCAAGCTGCGCTCGCAATGACAACGTGGGTTCGCGTGAAGAGATGCGCCGCCGCACCCGTGATCTTACCGGGGGTCGTCGGAATCATCGGTGTAATAATCATCGGTGTAATAATCATCGTCACGAAAGTGGTCTTCAGTGCGATGGATCCGTCCCCAAATCCATTTGAGGGTAACCACCAACCGCCAGCAGGACGAGCCCTCCGATTATCAAGGTGTCCAGGTAGGCGAAGAACGACAGGTCCCCAGAGCCGTCCTGGTTTTGCAAGGCAATGAATAATTGAACAGGTACAGGCATTGCTACAAACTCGCAGCACCCATCCGGTTGGCGCCGCGACGGGGCACTGTATCATTTTCCGGCGCCGGCTGGTAACGCGTCGGGGTCCGACGTAATCCGCTATTGGGAACGCAGTATTGCTGTTCAAATATCTGATTGTGGCGATCACGGCGGCATCACCGATCGGGGAGGAGCTGGTATCGATCCCGGTTGGCGTTGGGTTGGGGTTAAATGTGGCAATAGTGGCGGTGGTGTCGTTCGCGTTCAACCTGCTGCCGGCGCTGGCGATTTCCGGGCTGTTCTGCGAGCGGAGCGGGGCACGCGGGTAGTCAGGATACTGTTGCGGTTGCGGCCACTGGCGTTGAGAGCTGTTGTACTCTGGATACTGAGACGCCGCAGCCGGCGGTTGGGTCAGGCGCTGAACCGTTGGGGCATCTGGGGCGTTCTGGTAGCGACTCCGTGGGCGGGCGTGTACGCAACCACGCTGACGTTGGAGGCGATGGGGATGCGCCGGAGACGCCTGTTGGCATCGGTGGCGGCAAGCCTGGCCATACACGCGGTAGCCGTCGCGTTGATTTCGGCAGGGATATTCAGGCTGTTGTGGAGTTAGGTCAATCTCCGGCGCCCGAATCGTTGCATCCCGCCGAGTTGCATCCCGTTGATTCGAACCTACTCGACCTCGCAATATATCTTAACGTGGTCGGTGAAAATCCCCAAATCTCGCAATCTCGCGAAAGTGCCATTATTTGCCCGATGTATAAAAATAACACCTAAATCTAACAGGCGATTCCTGACGTATGTTGCTCATGGGGCGTACGTCGCTCATGGATGGAGCGGGTGCGAGTACCCGGTGGTAGGGAATCGACGCGGAAGTTGGTGGTATTTATGGAGCGGACGGTCAATTCATTTTTGCAGCATCTGGTCGTGGAGCGAGGTTTTGCCCAGAACACGCTGGATGCGTACAGCAGCGACCTGAACCAGTTCCGGGCGTTCGTCAAGGATAATCTGGATGCTCCCGCCGAGCAGGAAACCTGGCGGTTGGTCGACATCAACCTGCTGAATTCCTATATCACCGACCTGCGGGACAACCGCGGATATCGGGAGACTACCACTGCCCGCAAGGTGGCGGCAGTGCGATCGTTTTTCGGGTATCTGAGCCGGAACGGGCTGATCACGGACGACCCTACCGAGAACCTGGGCTCACCACGCGTGGGCCGCTCGGTGCCCAAGTTCATCACCGAGGACGAAGTGAAGCAATTGCTGGGCACCGCCGCCGATACCGGCACGCCGGAGGGCCGCCGTGATGCCAGCATTCTGGAACTCCTCTACGCCACCGGATTGCGCGTCAGCGAGATGGTGGGCCTCAACGTGCAGGACATCGACTTTGAAGAGGGTTTTATCCGCACCTGGGGCAAGGGGGCCAAAGAACGTATTGTCTACGTGTACCCGGAGGCCCTGTCCCATCTCCGCGCGTACATCGGCGGGGCCAGGGTTGAACTGCTGGGCAACAAACGCGGCGAAACCGCCCTTTACGTCAACCAGCGCGGCGAACGACTGACCCGCCAGTGGGTGTGGAACATTCTGAAGGCCAGCGCCAAGAAGGCGGGCATAGACACCAAGATCACGCCCCACACGTTGCGCCACAGTTTTGCCACTCACCTGCTGCAAAACGGCGCCTCGTTGCGCCACGTCCAGGAACTGCTGGGACATTCCAGCATCTCCACCACGCAGGTCTACACTCACCTCACCGATTCCCACGTGCGCGAAGAATATGAACGCAGCCACCCCAGGGCGTGACCGACAATTTCGGCGTCCCGCGCACGAAGCGTTGCGGGTATCTTCACCGCCACGACGTTGACATAATCCGCTCGCGGAGCCGGGGTCGGTGGTTCTGATATGCTGGTATTATGTAGGCACGACCACGCGTTTCGCGCCGTGGCCGTCAACTGGGATAATCAACACGCGCGCCGAGCCTGATCTGGATCCGAGAAGCCGGCGCCCGGAGGGTTACAATGCCGAGCAAAGGCAAACGGATAGCAGCTCGTCAAAATAGCCTGCGTCGCCGACGTGGCGGCGCCAGCCGTACCGCTCGCACCGTCCGGCGAGGCCGTCGCCGTACCGGCCGGAGCGTCTACCGACGCTTCGGGAGCTTTGGCTACCGCCACTGCACCATCAAATGGCGCAACAGCCGCTGCCCAGGCTGCGCCGGCCGGAACCTCCACCCGCGCGGCTCCGCAACCCAGAGGCCGTCGTTTCGACCGTCCGGCGGCGTACAACCACGTTGGCTCTGAACTGATCCGCATCGGCATCTACTCCGGTGTTCTGGTGGTAGCTTTGGTTGCCGTTTCGTTCGTAATGTAGTCTCGGCTGCCGGGATTCCTACCGATGATTCGCCATGAATTTGACCATCGCCTGTTGGTGACGCCCGAAACGACCCGGCGTTTACCTGATGAAGAATGCCGGCGGCGCGGTGATCTACGTTGGTAAGGCGGCGGTGCTGCGCAATCGATTGCGATCCTACTTCGGCTCGCCGGCCGGCCTCGACCGGAAAACCCGGCGGATGGTCAGCGAACTCGCCGACTTCGAGTACATCGTTACCGACACCGAGGCCGAGGCGCTGATTCTGGAAAACATCCTCATCAAGCGCCACCGCCCCCATTTCAACATCCGGCTGAAGGACGACAAGACGTACCCTTATCTCAAAGTCGACCTGGCCGATGATTTTCCCCGGGTGTACATCACCCGGGGCGTGCACAAGGATGGCGCGCGTTATTTCGGGCCCTTCGCCAGCGCGGGCAGCGTGCGGCAGTCAATGGACTTGGTCAAGAAGCTGTTTCCGTATCGTTCGTGCACGCAAAGAAGATACTGGTGCACCGACCGCGGCTTGCCTTGAGTACTACATCCATCGTTGTGTTGGTCCCTGCGCCGGTGGAGCGACCGTGACCGAAATACGCGCCCGAAGTCGCGTTCAAGCAAGGTTATCCTGTTTTGGAGGGGATACGGAGGCGGTTTGACCGCCAGTGTGCGTGGCAAATGGAGGAAGCCGCGGGGCAGCTGGAATTCGAACGCGCCGCAGTCCTGCGCGACCAGGTTGCCGCAATCACCAAGTTTGAAGAAGAACGCACCGTCAAAGTGGACTCTGGCCGACAGACCGACCTGGATGCCATCGCGGTATCGGTGGCCGCCAGCGAAACCTGGTGGCGAAAGTATTCGTTTCTCATACGAGCCGGGCAACTCATCGGGCGCGACCACTTCTTTATGGACGGGCCCCAGGACGACGAACCCAGCGCCATCATCGCCCAATTCGTCCAGCAATTCTACGCCACTGCTCTAGAGGTGCCGCCCACGATTCTGGTGCAGCATGAACCGCCGGAGGAAGACGCGCCGTTTTTGCTGGGGTTTTTACGTGACAAGAGGGGCGGAGCCGTGCGCATTGTCAGGCCCCAGCGCGGCGAAAACCGAAGCTGCATGCAGTGTAGCGACAACGCCACCGAGTTGTTTGTTTGGTATCCTCAGCATCGTGTCAAGTGGCTGAACCGTACCGACGCCATCCAGGGCGCGCTGGCCGAGCTGGAGGAAGAACTCAGCTTGCCAGCCCTGCCGCGGCGGATGGAATGCTACGACATATCCCATATACAGGGCAGCAACCTGGTGGGCAGCATGGTGGTGTTCGACGACGGTAAACCCTTCACCCGCGACTACCGCCGGTTCAATTTCAAAATCAAGGCGTTGAGCGGCGACATTGATGAGTTACGGCCAGCCAGGCATGAAAGAGAGACTTTGCGGACGCGGCCGGTTCAAAGCGTGTGATTGAGTCAGCTTGCCATAACAACCCGATCCGTCTGGAAAGGTGGACACTGGGCGTAATAAGCCGATCTGGTAATTATCGACGGAGGCAAGGGGCATCTTTCGGCGGCCCGCGAGGTTATGCTGCACCTGGGCCTGGAACAGATTCCGTTGTGCTCGCTGGCCAAGGCGAGATCCATGAGGAGCTTTCGCCGCGCACACATCGTCCTGAGCACCAATCACAGCTGCGTAACGCCACAGGCGCTGTACCTGATGCAACGCATCCGGGACGAAGCCCACCGGTTCGCGATCAGCTGTCACACCGGACATCGTCGAGAGCACGTTTGAAATCGTCTCAATTGACATATGTTAGCGGGCAGAGTCCCGAACACGCAAGCGCATGCTGCTACGACGACACGGCCAGGTTTCGGTCATGCCGGGCATCAAGAGAGCCAGCGTCGATGAAATTGCCGCCGTGCCGGGCCTGACCCGTTCACTGGCGGTCAGGCTGAAACAAACCATTTAAGCCGACCCGGCGGGGTTGGTCGCAATGGGAGGACTGATGACACTCCAGACCGACCCCGAACACTCCGAGGCGTCGCTGGCTGTTTCGCCGCGCTTGTGCGACGACCCAGCCGCAGATGACCCCGAGGCCTTCGCTGATCTGGTGCTGGACACTCTCGGACGCGAGGACTGTGAGAGCGCGGCCGCCCTGATGCGTGAACTGCGGCCGGCCGACCAGGGCATTCTGCTGAAGCGCACCTCGCGGTCGGAACGACGCCAACTGCTGGGTTTGCTAACGCTGGACGAACTGTCGGACATCCTGGACGAGGCTCCCACCGATTCCGCAGCAACCATTACGCGCGAACTGCCCGCGGAACGGGCTGCCGACGTGCTCGACGAAGTCCACGCCCACCACGTTGTCGACATCCTGCAGGAACTACCTCAGGGCCAGGCTGACGCCATCGTTGCCGAACTGGACCGCCCGCAAGACGTGGTGCCGTTGTTGCAATACTCGCCGGATTCCGCGGGCGGAATTATGACTCCTGATTTCCCCCATGTGCATCAGGATGATACCGCTGCCATTGCCCTGGATGCGTTGAGGCTGTTCGGTGAAGACGCCGGAGGGTTCGGTTGGGTGTGTGTTCTGGACACCGATCGGCGGTTGGTCGGTTACGTCAGCATCGCCAATCTGGCGCTGGCGCGACCCTTGCGTTCCGTCGGCGAGCTGGCTGAGCAACATGACCACCGGTTGGTGTGGGTGACACCCAATGACGACCAGGAAGAAGCCGAACGCATCATGTCCCGTTACACGCTGAGCATTCTGCCGGTTGTGGATGAAGAGCAACGCGTGCTGGGCGTGATACAGGCCGAAGAGATGATGCACATCGCCGAGGAGGAAGCAACCGAGGATATGTTGCGGATCGCGTCGGCGCCCGGGGAGCGGGTATTGGGTTCGGTGGGACTGTCCATCAGGCACCGGTTGCCCTGGCTAATCCTGAATCTGGGTACGGTTCTGGTGGCCGCCGCAACGGTCAGTATGTTCGAGTCCACCATTGCGGCAATCGCAATGCTGGCGGCATTTCTGCCCGTTGTGGCCGGACAGGGCGGCCTCGCCGGGACGCAGACTGTTACGCTGGTCGTCAGAGGTATGGCAATTGGCGAGGTGCCGCATCATGGCGGAATGCGGCTATTGGGCAAGGAATTGTTGCTGGGGTTATTCCACGGCCTGCGCTGGCCCTGATCGTAGGAGCGTTGGGTTACCTCTGGAAAGGCAGCGTTGGCCTCGCGTTTGCGCTGGCTATTGCAATGGTGGGCAACTTGCTGATAGCGGCGTTGACCGGAGCCGGCGTTCCGCTCATGCTCCGTAAAATGGGCATCGACCCGGCGGTGTCGTCGGCGGTTTTTGTGACCACGTTTACCGACGTGTTCGGGTTCCTGATTTTCCTGGGGACGGCTGCCCTGCTCATTGCCTGGTTGGGGTGAATCGTCGCCGCTGGCGTGGGGCAATCAAACAAACACCGAACCTGGATTCCTTGCAAACGGCGACTGCCGTACATTACTATCACCCCGGAACAGCCGGCTGAGAGTGTGGTATGGAGACGTCGGGAGTAATAAAGCTAGCCATCACGCTGCCAAACGGCGCCCAGGTCTCGATCGAAACCGAAGATCGGGAACTTGCGCGCGAGTTGCTGTACTCGGCGTTGCCTGAGTTGAACGGTGGTGGCGCGGCTTCCGCAATTAAATCCGCCAACACTGATGCGCCTTCGTACCCCAACGGCAATAGCGCCGACAACGGCTCAGGGTACGCCACGCCGACCGAGCCACAAAGTTCTGCGGGTTTATTGGCGGCTGCGGATGGAGGAGAGATCACCAGCCCGGCAAGCAATGGGCATCCCCCGCCGGCTGAATTGCCACCGTCATACGCGCGCGACGTAGCGCCGGCGGCTGCGACGATGCAGGACGCACCGGCGCCAACGGTCGACGCGACTTCGGGTACCGTGCCCGTTAACGAGCGGGTCCGGGTTTACCGAACCGACCACACCGGAAGAACGTGAATACGTTGCCTTTTGTCAGCACGTCAGCCCGCTGGGCGATATGCGGCGGGTGGTGGTGGCAGCGGAGGCCGCCGATCGTTTCCTGGCGGTGAAGAGCGTGGACCCTGATGAGTTGTCGCAGCTGTTTTCGCTGGCGGGTTGGCCGCTCCCCCACAGCTTTGTGCAGACGCTGCGCAACGCAGCACGCACCAAGTTTCGTTGGCTGGAACGCATCCCCGGGCAATCGGGCCACTATCGGGTTACCAACATGGGCCGAAGCATCGTCCTGGGCGACAATAAATCGTCCTTACCCGCCCAACCGGTCGCGCCGCCGGCCGCCCCGTCTCCCTACGGCGGCAATTTTAACTAGCGGCCGAAACCGCGATACTCTTGCTGGAGGTCGCTGCGAAGCAGTGTCCTTCGTTTAGACTGGGATACGGCGGGCCGCGTTAACACCGCATCTGGTGGTGGCCGGGCCAGCGTAGTACAATCCCCAAACGCCCCGCGGAGCTACTGCGGTGGTTACATAACATTCCTGACGGTGAGGAGAGCACAGCATGAAAATGTACATTTGCGGCGAATGGGTCGACCGCGATGACAAGATGTCGGTCGTCAATCCCTTTGACCAATCTGTAATCGACACGGTTCCCCGGGGCAGCGCCGCCGATGTGGGGGCAGCCATAACCAGCGCCGCCCGTGGCGCACAGGTGATGGCCAAGTTGCCGGCCCATCGTCGCTACACCATCCTGAAGCGCGCCGCCGACCTGATGGCCGAGCGAGCCGACGACCTGGCCGAAACCATAACCCGCGAAGAAGGCAAGGTTATCGCAGAGGGGCGGACCGAAGTGCAGCGTGCCATCCAGACCATCACGCTCTCCGCCGAGGAATCCAAACGCCTGCACGGCGAGACCGTACCCCTGGACGCCGCACCTGGCGTAGTCAGCCAGTTTGGATTCACCATCCGCGTACCGGTGGGCGTCGTGGCCGCCATTGCTCCGTTCAACTTTCCGCTGAACCTGGTTTGCCACAAGGTGGGACCGGCCCTGGCGGGGGGGAACGCGGTCATCCTGAAGCCGGCCGGAGACACGCCGCTATCGGCCCTCAAACTCACCGAGATTCTCCTCGAAGCGGGCTTGCCGGAAGAGGCTATCCAAACGGTGACCGGCTCCGGGGCGGAGATTGGCGATGCCATCACCGGCGACCCGCGCGTCCGCAAGATTACCTTCACCGGCAGTATGGAAGTCGGCGACCGCATCTGCCGCAACGCTGGCATCAAGAAGGTAACGATGGAGCTGGGTTCCAACAGCCCGCTGATCATCATGTCTGACGCCGACATCGAAAAGGTGGCGGCGGCGACCGTGGCCAGCGGTTTCTCCAACGCCGGGCAGGTGTGCATCTCGACGCAACGGGTGTTCGCGGCGCGGGCGATATACGCCGACTTGCTGGACGCTCTGGTGAAGCCCACGCAGGAATTCAACGCCGGTAATCCGTTTGACGAAGACGTCAAGATGGGGCCGATGATCCGCCAGAACGACGCCGAACGTGTCGAAAGCTGGATCGCCGAGGCCGTCGGTCAGGGAGCCCGCGTTATCGCCGGTGGCGAGCGCGAGGGCACGCTGCATACTGCCACCGTTATCGCCGATGCTCGCGCCGAAATGTTGATTTCCCGTGAGGAACTGTTTGGCCCGGCAATAGCGGTAAGCGCCTTTGAGGACATTGACGACGCTATTGCAAAGGCCAACGACAGCCGGTTCGGGCTGTCGGCGGGAATCTTCACCCAAAACGTGGATTGGGCGATGCGGTTCGCTCAGGAAGTGCATTCCGGCAACCTGCACATCAATGCCTCGCCCCAGTGGCGGGCCGATGTCATGCCCTATGGCGGCTTGAAGGACAGCGGTATGGGCAAGGAAGGTCCGGGCTACGCCATCGAAGAGATGACCGAACTCAAGATGGTCGTGTTCCACATGGGTGGCTAGAAACCCGCCAACCCATCCCACGTTACGCTGTGTGGTCTGGGAATCTATTCGATAAATAATCCTTGGTAATGACGTAGTTTTCCCGGCCCACCAGTAACTTCCCCTCTCCCACCGGGAGAGGGGTTGGCGCGAGGGCGAACGCCTCAGGAGCTTCTGAATGACTAGCAGGCCGCATGGTATAGATGGCTGGGATTCCCCGACCAGGAGTATGCACCCACCCCACGTTTGATTACGGAGCCGCCGACCAGCGCGCTGGTGGTGACTCCGCACCCTGACGATGCCGAGGGCGGTTGCGGCGCTACGATGGCCAAGTGGATAGCCGAAGCGGGTACCCACGTGGTGGTGCTGATGTCTACCAACGGGAACAAGGGCACCGGCGATCGCGAAATGACGCCCGAACGGCTGGCCGCCACCCGGGAGGTGGAGCAGCAGAACGCCTCGAAATTGCTGGGAGTAGCCGAGGTGGTATTCCTGCGGTACGGCGACGGTGAACTGGAGGATACGGTCAAGTACCGGGGCGAGGTGGTGCGGGAGATTCGACGGCACAAACCTGAGGTTGTGTTCTGCATCGACCCGTATCGTGTTACGTCCCACACGCACCGGGACCACCGCAGGAGCGGCCAGGTGGCGCTGGACGCCGCATTTTCATACGCCTGGAGCTACCTAGATTTTCCCGAACAGATTGCGGACGAGGGACTGGAACCGCACCGGGTGGGGGAAGCCCTGCTGTGGGGTTCGGAGCGGCCCGATACGTTCATCGAGGTTACCGAGGAGCACATCCGCCTGAAGGCCGAGTCTCTGAGCGCGCACGTGTCGCAGATGGGCGAGCGTACCCCGGCACACCGATTGGAGCGTTTCGCTGAAGGTAGCCGGAATCAGGGCCAGCGCTGCGGCGTGGAATTCGCCGAAGGTTTCCGGCGGATCGAGTTCAACCTGGGCAGTGAAGAGTGGTGGCTGCTGAACCGATAGGGATCAGGATGCGATCGCGGCGATGACTTCGTCGGCGGTGGCAACCCACGCCATCCGGGGGAAGATGATGTCCATGCACACGTCGTGCTCCGCTACGGTCGCGGCGGCGCAGCAATCGCGCACCACGATGCAGTCATAGTCCTTGTCACGAGCGTCGCGCAACGAACCTTCAACCACTCCGGTAGTCGAGTAGCCGGTCAGGATCAGGGTAGTTATCCCGAAGCGCCGCAGATACACCTCAATGTCGGTGGTGTTGAACGGGCTCGTAGTGTGCTTGACGATTACCGGGTCGCCCGATTTCGGCACCAGTTCGGCGACCACCTCGGCGTCGTGGCTGCCCTCGGTGAGTCTGGGTCCAGCATCGGCGGCGGATGCCGGCGCGCCGAAGGGCGGGCGAGGTGAATCGCGTCGGTCGGCGCGGCGGTTGACCTTGACGTAGATGACCGGCATGTTGACCGAACGTGCCTTCTCCAGCAGGCGGGCGCTGTTGGCGATAATGTCGGCGCCGGAGAGGGGTTGGACTGGCATAACGTTGCCCTTCACCAGCTCGTTTTGCATATCTTGAATCAACAGCGCCGTGGATTGCGGGTCGATGGTTGTGTCGGGCATGGCTGGCCTCCGGTAACGTGCAGTATCAGGGTGGTAATTATGCGATGCGGTCTTTGGAATGAGTGCCGGGAAATTCCGCACCATCCTTGCCCAAACGAACACCGTAAGCGCGCATCATAGACTGACTGTTGCTGCGGGCGATGGCGCGAAATACGTTGGCCATGATACCGCTATTTTGACGAATCGTTTGGCCGGGCGCGGTTACGATCTCCTGTGGAGTCGGGTCAAGTAAACCCCACTGCGGCGGCATCATTTCTGCGAGCACAACCCCGGCCGGGGCCATGATGTAGTGGTAGTGCGCGGCGGCCAGAAATCGGGGGTCGTGGAACTTGTTGGACACTGTAGTCAACCGCTCACGCAACCGCTCAAGCTCGTCGGTGAGGCGGGTTCGGTCCGATTCGGCCACTCGATACGCCGGGACGTCGTGCCACTGGTCACCGGCATGACCACGGGCGAACTCAGCCGCCTGAGCCAGTGTTTGCTCGGCCAATATGATGCGTCGGGTCAGCGACCCCATCCGTTGCCGCAGCCGTTCGATGTCGGCATCGGTGTTGTTGTCGCGGGCGAAATCGGAGCGGCTGGATTTGACCTCAACCGCGTACACCACGTTGTTCCGTCCGACGGCTACCAAATCCACTATGCGACCCCACGGGCCATGCAGGCGCACTTCAAATCCGATGGTGCGGCAGTGGGCGACGTTGTACAGCCATTCCCAGGCAGCCCACTTGAGGCGGTAGGTTAGCTCTGATTCGCTGGCGAGTTTGAAACGGGTGGCGTCCAGCATGGTATATGTGCCGGGATTGTTCCCACACACCGTCATTTCACCCTCACGCCGTTATTTCACCATCACCCTCACCCCAACCCTCTCCCGTAAGGAGAGGGGGAACGCACCCTCACTCCAGCCCTCCCCTTGACGGGAGAGGGGGTTTTGCGATCCAGTGGAACCTTACAGTTCCTGGAGTTCACCGACGATGCGGCGCAGTTGGGCGTATTCCGCGTTGTTGGTGGTCTGAATCGAGAAGTGCATTTCGTCAACCAACCCGCCGTAGCGTTCCTTGAACATGCCGGGTATCTCGTCGTACTCGCCGATAATGGCGAAGGCATCCAGCATCTCATCCGGCACCAGAGCACCCATCTCTTCCCACTTGCCTTCCAGAGATAGCCGGTGCAATTGGCGGCCGACGTCTTCGAAGCCGTGACACTCCAGCACCGGGAAATAAGTGCGGGTGGAGGAGTAAAAAGCGATCCGACGGCGCGTTTCGGCGTCCATTGCTTTGATGGCGGCCTGATTGGGGCCGGTTACGATGAACCCGCCGCCAACTACGGACAGATCCGCCGGGTCGCGCCCCGCCCGTCGCGCGCCCTCGGCAATGTTGGGCTTGACTATCTGGCGCACGTACTCGGGGGAGGTGAGACTGTGCAGCATCAGACCGTCGCTGCATTCGCCGGCGACCAGACAGTTGTAGCCGTTAACCGCAGCGGTGAACACTTCCGGATGGGCGTATTCACTGGGCCCGGGGCTGAAAAACGGCGTCATCAAAGAGAACTGGTAGAAATCGCCGGCGTATTCCAGGTTGCTTCCCGTATCCCAGCAATTCCAGATTGCCTGCAACGACTGCACGTATTCACGCAGACGCGGCCCAGGCGAACCACCCCAACGGGTGGCGAACCGCCGCTCGATGTGCCCCTTGACCTGGGTGCCCAGGCCGAGCCGGAACCGTCCACCGCTGGCGTCTTGCACGAGCACGGCGATTCGGTTTGCCCTGCTACGTGGTGCTTATTTCCTGGTATAGGCCAGTACATAGGGTGATTTGTGCGCGAGGAGACAGGGAGAGGCGATGGCCACGGGGGTGCTACGCGTCACGCGGTCGCTCGCCGTGCTGGTTGTAGCGGGCCACGCCAACGGCAGGAGGAACGCAAATCGTGAGTGCGGTTCGTTCGGTGGCAATAAACGCTCGTAACATCGACTCGGCCCAGGCAGCCTCTGCTCCTACGGCGTTCAGGTCTCGGGACATTGATTTGAGGGAATTTGTGAAAAAATAATATAAATTAAATACATAGAAACATATTGATGAATAATACATAAATAATGAATGAATAAACGACTCTCATAATGGCTCCAGAGGTCCAGGGGGCAAAAGGGGTGGGCGGCGGCAAAGATTACGTTTGCTCAGAATGGTAGGCGCATGTTTAATCCATCCACGGTACAGGTGTCGGTCGGTTTTGGCTGGCCATTACGAGGGACCATACGAAGTTTGCATGTGCGATGCAGATGCGTGTATTGTGTCGCGTCCACCAAGCGACGTACGCTGGCCCATTCTGTGGTGAGCCGTGGGTGGTGTCCTTCGGACTCGGCTAGCTCGCCAAGGGCATTGGTGAACTGCAACGCGTTCACGAAATTGTTGAACTTGAACTGCCGGTCCAGTTTCGGTATGCCGGATTCGTCAATCATGACAATAGTCGATGACGGAGCGCACTCGAGGTGATTTCGCGTACGGACGTGTGGGGAGAATCGCGGCGGCAGGCGGTGCATCTTTCGCTATACAATTCGGCCATTTAGCGTCTCATGGACATTGCTGGTCGTGAACATTGCCTTGTGCCGCCATTTTAGCATAGCGCCTGTGTCGGCCAGCATTGGGAATGTCACAACCGGCGGCTCACGCGTACCTTCTTCAATCTGTCGTCGCGAGGAGCGGCCGCTCCTCCAGAGCTCGTCGAGGGACGTGGCAATCTCGATGAGGCTGAACACACGTCGACGAACCGCCGTTGCTACGGCGACGGGATTGCCACGCTACGCTCGCAATGACAAAGTGTGTATGCATGAGCACAACGGCGACGGTTGAGGGTTGCTGTTGGCTGGGGTCGTGTTATAGTCGTGGAGGTGCTAACCAATCTCAGCGGCTGCGGAGGTCAACATGATTTACGGTGCTATCAGCAATTCCTGGCGCAACCAACTGGATGAATCCAGTTTGGGTGACCTTGTCGCGCAGGCGCAAGCCAACGGGGACTACGCATGTCGAACTGCGATACCAAAACTGCCTGCGCAGCAGCCGATGTCCGAAAGAGGGGCGATTGACTGGCGGCCCAACCTGCCCGAGTTGGCGGAACTGGTGGTGCGCTTTCCCGATCTGTCCTCGGGCCTCGTCGAGATAGCTTCCAGTTGCCATGTATGACTACCGGACATCGACCACCAACGGCGGGCTGGTTCCAACGCGAAGGGGAGGAGCGAGCGCCGAAAGCGAAGACAAAGAAAAAAGAAGCGAAAGACAGAAGAGAAGCGCCGAACCGTGCCTGCGAACGGTTGACCCGGCGGCTAGCGACAAACCTTGGGCGCTGGCAGCCGATATAGCCAGGATGCTTGTGCGAGCGTATCGATGCCTCTGGTGAGGAGGGATAAAGTAGTATGCAAGAGCAAGATAGTAAGCGGCGCGCCAGGGGGTCATATTTTCCATGGAAAACTCTGGGCAGCCGCTGCGCTCGATGCAGTTGCTGGTCCGGGAAGCCCGGGCCCGGATGACTGAAGACCAAGGCCAGTACCTGGGCCTGTGCCCAGATCCGACCAATCAATTGCGGCGGCATCCGGAGAGCCATCCGCTGGACGAACTGGCGGCGCTGCCGGCGGACTACATAAAGATTGTGCACTGTCAAGCAGGCGCGGCACGGTGCGGCGCTGGAGAGCGTCGAAGACGGCGACCTGGATTGTCTGGCGATGGTGCGAATCCTGCAGAGCAAATCGTACGCCGGCGCGGCGATCATGGAGATACCGTCGTCGGACACGGTGTTCGCCAACCTGGCAGCAATTTCGCCTACGGATTGGTGACCGGAGCGGCACGATTGGAC